AAAAGTTCTTAATATTGTGCCATCTAAAAGCTTTTCATCTAAAAATAGTTTACAATATTGTAAATTGACTCAACTACGTTAGAATCCTACATGTTATTTTGATTTGAATTTAGTATTTTCAAAATAGAAGATTGGATTAAAATTATCCAAATGCAAATAGATGTTAATGGTCATTGGAATTCGAAAAATTCGTAAAAATAATGACTTGAAGATTAAAGACTAAAACTGATATATGTATAACAAAGTGAAGGTTTCAAACATAAATGACATGAAAGTGAACGGTATTGATAAACTTGATTGTCCAAGAAGCATATCTGTACATTGGTACCATTTTATGTAAAAAAAGAGTTAATCGTTTATTATCTTAATGGTAATGGCACCACAGTTCTTAAGCACCATCATACATAGGTATATAAGTATTACAAAAACTGGGTTAGTGTTGACTTACTGCCGAGTTATATTATCAGCATTGCAACCTTCTTTATAGGAATACCGGTGTTTTGCTTTTGCTTGCTTCTTCAGGTCTTGGAGAGGCTATTTTTAGCAGACAGCATTCCATGGCTACGGTACTTAGACAGGTAGGACATACATTTACATTCGTGCATACACCTCACATCCTTACAAATATACACACACTTATAGCAAATACCTATGTAGGTATCTGATGGTAGAATGTGATCTGATGCCAGTAGCGCCGGTCTTTTACCTTCTTTCTCTTATTATGTGTTTTAAATTATCATCTGGAACGGTCAGTTTTGCTTCATTGCCGTTTACTTCACAGGCGCCATGCACATACGATACACAAATGTATCGTTGCTGGTGATTTAAAACAGTAAAGCTGTGATGAAGTAAAGTAGCTAAATAATAAACAAGAAACTTGATGAACAACTGTAATCATCCTCTTGTTGAAACAGTGGAGTATTTCTACTAAACGATAATTAAATGCTTCGTTACATGCTAAAAGCTCAGTTAAATTTATAAAGCAGACAATTAAAAAAGATTTTTCAATTGTACTAAAAGCTCCACGTTGTCGCAACCTAATTCCTAGTCCAGTGGACAATTTCTACTGAACGACAAGTAAATGCTTCATTACATTCCAAAAGCTCAGCCGAATTTTGAGAGCAGACAATTAAAACAGCTTTTTCAGTTGTACTAAAGGCTTCTTGTTGTCGAAACTTAATTCCTAGTCCATTGGACAATTTCTGCTAAACGATAACTAAATGCTTCTTTACTTGCTAAAAGCTCAGCTAAATTTAGAAAGCAGACAATTAAAAAAGCTTTTTCAATTGTATTAAAAGCTCCATGTTGTCACAACTTAATTCCTAGTCCAGTGGACAAATTCTACTGAACGACAAGTAAATGCTTCATTACTTACCAAAAGCTCAGCCGAATTTTGAGAGCAAACAATTAAAAATCTTTTCTAGTTGTATTAAAAGCTTCTTGTTGTCGAACTTTATTCCTAGTCCATAAGACAATTTCTGCTAAACGATAACTAAATGCTTCATTACTTGCTAAAAGCTCAGCCTAATTTAGAAAGCAGACAATTAAAAGAGCTTTTTCAGTTGTACTAAAAGCTTCTTGTTGTCGAAATTTAATTCCTAATCCAGTTGACAATTTTTACTAAACGATAAGCAAATGGTTCGTTACTTGCTAAAAGCTCAGCCAAATTTTGAGAGCAGACAATTAAAACAGCTTTTTTAGTTGTACTAAAGGCTTCATGTTGTCGAAACTTAATTCCTTGTCCATTGTTTTGCCAGTATTGTCATTATTTATCTATAATACTTATTGATCTACATTTTTAAGCAATCTTCAGGCCAAGTAACTTCCCTGGTGCAAAAGGACCCCGCTATATCCTTACGGAAAATTGCCCTGTGTCAAACTCTTTGAAACTTTGGTTTCTGATGGTTTAAATTAATGGCAGAACATTTTTGTTTGTAGTAGACACACTTCTAAAGCATTCTTTTGTCTGTTGCCGTTCTGATCAGTTTTTTTTATAATTTTATATTAGGTGCAAGTCACTGTATGTCTCGTAATTTGCTTGTGAAATTAGGCGTGACGTATAGCTAGTTCGCAAAAAGAAACTACACGAATGTCAACCAATTTGATTGACAATATGCGATTTATAATGCGGCTAACCAAACGATTTGCGTTTTCCTTTTGACAAAGCCAATCATCAAATAGAAGTTGTATGGATTTAATTTCTGCTTATGCCAATGTAGAGGTTCTAACAATTGCTCGTCATGCTATATGATGGTATGGAAGATGAAGAAGAACTAAACAAAAAATTCATTTTAGAAAATACTACAAATTGCGCAGAAACGCCATCTGTAGCACGATGCTACATTTTAGGATTACGTATGCTCCAACAAGGTCCACTTGTGTGGATATCTAATAGTTGCTGAAAACGAATCCCGGCATAGCCAACCTCAACGTAGTAGGCACGTTAGCTTAATCGAATAAAATAATTCGAAGCTGTCTGTATTCTGTCGAAACTGCCAGACGCGGATCGCGATTTCGATCTTTTTGGATCTCATCAGCGCGTCGCAGACAGCTCCGACAGAACACAGACCAACTTTTACCTGCTGTCTTAACAGTGCGTTTTAGAAAATACTACGAATGGCGCAGTAAACGCCATCCCGGCGGGGGTGCGACAACAACAACAAATTTTTCCTCATTAGTCTGAGGTATTTTATAGCGGGTAAAAAATTGAAAATGAATTTTCACATTATTAATATTAAATATTACTTGAGAAGTTTACATATTACAAAAAACTTTTCAGGTGTGACTTGAAGCAGACAATGAGGCACACCCTGAAATTTTGGTGTCTCTTTTAAAAATCTACTGCGTCACCCACTTCATTTTATTTAACATTCAAAAGGTATTAACGAAGATGCCTTAATTACGAGTTAATTTACTATCATAATATATTATGTGTGTTTGGTTTTTTAAGGAAAACAAATATTGAAATATTAAAAATTCTTTTTAATATTAGTTGGTCTCTTATTTTAGGCGTCATTCCATGACCTGGTGACCTTCGTTTTGAGTAGGTATTTCTTCTTTGTATTAGTTAGGCAAGCAACCAGAAGATAAAAAAGGTGCACTCATCTTATAGAAAAAGTCTGATTTAATTGTATGCGATATTACGTGGAATACCTAATATAAACAAAGCAGCATGTTAGTTAGTTGATGATTATTAAAATTTTGAAGGCCGTAACAAACTTGACATTTCGCGTAATAGTTAATTTGTCTTTCAATTTTTGATTCGTAATTATGAATAGATATGTCATTACGTAATGAAATGTGGAACAGTGAGTTGAATGATGAAATGTGACGTCACTACTTGTAGGCCTACGGTTGTTTCGCATACCTGCCTCTGTTGTAGTGTATTGTTGCTGATAATTTTTATTGTGGGATATAATTTGTAACAAATTCATGTTTACATAATCTTCTTTAATATAATTACGAAAGAAAAAGGAAAATTTAATGAAACGTAATGTAGGATTTTTCCAAAACCACCAGTTGTTAATCTTAATTTTGCTTAAGGCTATTTGCCTCATAGTATAATTAACACACGTAGTTCCATATTATACATAAATGTTACGTAATGTCATTTAACAATAGAAATAGGTAGATCGTAGATCTAATGATAATATTGTAATTAGTAACGTGCACATAAAAATCGTGATGAGCCATTAGAACGATTTATTATAATGACAGCCTGTTTGTATCACCCATAAACCACCTACAGTGATTATGGATCCATGTACTGTACATACTTATAATTTCATTCTCTTTACCATATCGCTTACATTAACTTATAACCTGTTGTAAATTCTTATATAAATTTAGTATGGATCCATGTACACACTTACAATTCCATTCTCTTTACCATATCGCTTACTTTAACTTATAGCCTGTTGTAGACTCCTATATAAATTTGGACATAGATAGCGTTTAGTATTTGGGTCCCAATGAAATCTCCAAAATATTTAAGTCCATGGAGCAGGCTTTTAGTACCATTGAATTTGCCCTAGCTGAACGTAGAATACTCTCCTTTTGGGAAGTTTCCCTTCGAAGCGTTAGTCAGAAGGTAACTAAAAGAGGACAGCCAAGGGATTGCATGTGTTTTTGAGGTCTGAAGAAGTCTAAACCCAACGACATAATAAATAATACCCATACAGATAGCAAAACATTTGTCAGATACCCTAGACAAAAATTCTCAGTCTCTCTCCAGTCTCTCAGAGTCTTTCAGCGTCTCTAAGAGCGTCTCTTACAGTCTTTCACAGTCTCTCAGTTATTGTAGAACAAACAGAATAGCTCAAAACCCCAACGCCAAAACACGACACTGTAGTTGTCCGAAGCACTTTTCGGTAACAAAGTTACCTTCTTCAGGGACTTCAGTTTTTGTTTTTGTTACCGAAAAGTGCTTCGGACAACTACAGTGTCGTGTTTTGGCGTTGGGGTTTTGAGCTATTCTGTTTGTTCTACAACAACCGCCAAAGTTTTTCCAATCTTCATATTTCTCTCAGTTATTGCCTAGGTGTTTTTATGGATCTCTCACAGTCCCTGTATGAGAGACTGGTACGATAAAATTGTTAATTCAGAGATTCGAGCCTCTCACAGAGAGACTGGGATCTCTGAAATAAGTTGAACTTAGAAAATTTTAACCATGTCTATAGAGACACCACTTATTGAGAGATTCCGGTCTCTCGTTCAGAGATTTGAGTCTCTCGTTCAGAAATTCGAGTCTCTCGTTCAAAGATTCGAGTCTCTCGTTCAGAGACTGGATACGAAATGAGGATCTCTCTATGAGCGACTCGAGTCTCTCGTTCAGAGACGCTAAACAGTTTTTTTGGCAGTCTCTCGACAGTCTCTTTCAGCGACACCAGAGAGAGGTGGAGACTAGTGTCTCACATTCAGAGACTCTGAGAGACTGAACATTTTTATCCCGGGCAGTAATAAATGAAAATCCTTATAACAAGTGAAAATATTGATAGCATTATTTATACTACAAACAAGTAAATGTCACTGTGACAAGAGAGTTCGCAGCGATTTGAATGATATGGCGGACGACGAAGAAGAAGATGAAGGACAGGGAGGAGAAGAAGAATACTTCGAGCCAACAACCGAATTTCTCAAAATAACTGACGAGCAACTTGCCGAATTGAACGAAACGTATGAAATGTTCGATCCGTTTGGAAACGGTTCCATTCCCAACACCAGCTTGGATATGGCACTGAAAGCGCTGGGTTACTACAAGCCTGTGAGTGATCTCCAAGAGATGACGCTCACAATGGACCCAAATGAGACGGGTACGATACCGCTGTCCAAATTTTATAATTTAGTGGCCGCCATTATGAATGACACAAGTGAAATAGATGAGTTGCGAGAAGCATTCAAGGAATACGACGAAGATGAAGACGGAATGATTGCGACTTTAGATTTACGTAAAGTTATAACGTCCGTTGGAGAACCGCTCACCGAAGAAGAAATATGCGAAATGATAAGAGAAGTGGACGGAAATGCAGACGGCGAAATTAATTACGAAGAATTTATTTCGCTTATGACATCCAAGTGATATAACCGCGCGGTCAATATGTATCAGAAAAGTAAGACTAGGAGTTATCATTTTTGACGTAACCCAAATCTGAATTAAAAGAATTGTCATGACACGTCAGGTTTTCGAAAGATGTTAATTTTAAACTTCAAAAAATGCATTTTTGGTCTTTTTGTATTCAATATTACCTGAAGTAAAACGACAAAACAGACGAAGCAGTATGATTCTAGTCACTGTAGTAGGTACGATAATTCTGAAGACAGAAGTTTGTTTTCGATAAACACATCGAGAATTATTGCCCTTCTTCTGTGATTCGTTTTTTAACTCTTTTAGTACCTAATGATTTGAAAATCGAAAAATTATACAAGGAAGCTAATCATTTTTGATGCAATTTTCGAATGCGAATGCGAATCTGTCTCCAAAACAAACAGAGACCCCCAAAACAAACATGCCCACTTGGATTTTGAGGTTATAATATATGAAAATCTTGATCCGTTATGATAATTTTGAAGTAAAGTTCTAATCCAGCGATAAAAACTACTTTAGAAATAAATACTTCCTTAAATGCTTCATACTTTTACTTCACGTAGTGTTGTTTCAGAAGGTCCATAAGTTGTATATATTTTAGAGGTTAGGATTTCACAAAATCTGGACGTGCGAAGGCAATTCTGAGGTTAGAATCAGACGCAGTGTGACAAATTACGTAGGAGACAGACAGCACTATAGAAGTCAGTAAGAAAAAGGTCGGTAGGACACCATCTCAAGCATGAAGGGCTAGTTAGAGTCATATTCGAAGCAGAAACAGGAGTTAAGAGGAGTAGAGGTAGACCTAAATTAAATTCCTACTCACAAATAGGGATGTGAGGTGTTCTAGTTTTAGAGAAATGCGAAGATTGGTTCAGAATAACGGACAGTTGATGAGATGAATAGATTTTCCTCTTGTAAAAATGTCAACTATTGTTGCCTTTTCTCTGTGCGTGAAAATTATATGCAGTTGTGTCCGTTCCACATTTTATTAAGGATTATCGGTTATTTTTCTTTTATGTTTGCCGGATATTCTAAACTGATAGTACGATTATCATCATAGATATTATTGAAACACTAGGAAGTATCATTGATTGATTGATGGTTCGAGTTGTATGCCACTTATTGAAAAATACTCAATGGTATCGGTAGTGATAGTCTGCATATTTGTGTTATTTATATGTATAGGAATTGATGGATTAACTGATTTTAAATATCTAAATCTATTTATGTTTGAGTACTTATTATGTCATAGGTATCTTTAAGCATACAATGTATTTGGCAAAACTTAAGTGAGTCCCTACGTCATGGTTTATTGTGACTGTAAGGATTGATAACAAAATCCAAATGGATTTGTGAAAAGAATATTGAAGAAGCTCTGGAAAACTTTTGTGCATTAAAGGTTCCTTACCTATTAGAAATTTTTTAATTAATTCAAATGTAGTAAACTTATTATTAGTGTAATAGATAGATCGATAAAAATCGTTTTTTCTTAACGTCACACATGCTGTCTAGTTCTTTTGTGAAAAACAGTGGAACAGTCCAGAAAAACTATTACAGGTATCTACGTCTTTTTAATTATTATATTAGTTATTTTACATTCTCAGGAACAGAATGTTCGTAAATAGTAATAGTTCTTTATCAGTATTTTACTTCTTTTTAATGTGCATCGCCTTGAGATTTGACATTAAGATTAGGTAGGTACATGCATTTCTACGTGGAACTGTTACTGGGAATATTACATCCATTTTTTCCCTTTTTATGATGAATACATTGATTGTAAATTATTAATTATTAAACATTAATGTGAAAATTCATTTTTAATTTTCTCCCACTAGAAACTATCTCAAGTTAATGAGGGAAAAAGTAATTTTCACATTAATATTTGATATTAACCCCTATTAAATGTCAAAATGTTTCATATTAATGATTAACAATGAGACATTTAGAAGAATTTGAAATTATTAATTACTAGCGACCCGCCCCAGCCTCGCACTGGTGCAATGCTGATGTGTATATTTTTGTTTTGTTCAGATCATTATCGAAAAGGGGAAATCTTCAAAAGATACCTCCTGAACATACTAAATATACTATAGAATGTCTTTATATACAACATTCACAGTTTTTTTTGTCATTAGACAATACAAACCGGCCTCCCGGCCGGTACTGCCGCAATCGCTATGTCCCTGCATTTTAAATCTGTAATATCTTCGAAAATATTCATTTAAATTACATGCTGTAAAGGGCCATATTGATCTATATTAAATGCACAATGTATTTAAGGTACTTAATTGGATAAGAATTAATGCTGTATTGCCTACAATCGCTTCGTAAATAAGTCATTATTTCTCATAAAAAGTAAAGGATAAAAATGGTTATTGTGGGTTATCCCTAAGAGATAGACATATACCATCCCGGACTTTTTTGTAGACCCTTTTAAGATGTACAATATTGTAGTACATTATTTTGATCTATCTCGTAGGGTTCAGCCAGCGTTTGCAATGTAAGCGCAAAAAATGTGTTTATTTACGACATCACATTAGAAACCTCTAAAATTATCAGTGTTTCCCTACTATATTATGCATGTATTATACATATAAACCTTCCTTTTGAATCACTCTATCTTTTAAAAAAAACCGCATCAAAATCCGTTGCGTAGTAGGGACAAACAGCGGGAAAGCGACTTTGTTTTATACTATTTAGTGATTAAAAAAGCAATACTGACGTTTCGCCTCTAGTTAGGAAGTTTTTCAAGGTGGGTTAGATTAAATTAGGTGTTCAGTTTTTTAAATAATAAATCATTTACAACCTTATTTATCTCACATTTCTATTCATTATGTATGTATTATATATCAAAATCATGAAATTAATTAATTAAATGAAGAATACTTTGAAGTTGATAACACACACGGGATAAATATTATTGACCTGAAGGAGAAGTCTCGAAGATTTGTAGGCTGGAATCAAAACCGTTTTGTAATCAACCAATAGACCATTGAAGATATAGATGGAAAGCTTAGATATCGTTTCAAGAAGGAGCTTTTACCATTATCATCATTACATATATTTTTGGTTGTTTGTTTTAATGTACCCACAGTGAGTATGTGGTATTGGAACATAACATTAAGAACTCAATGTCTTTTACTACATATTAATTTAAGTACTGTAGTTACCGTCTTGTTTACTTGTATCATTTTCGCAATTGCAAACATTGTAATCACAATTTCCTCATTATTACTTTGTTCAATATCTTTGGACATTTCCGCAGTTCGTATAATTTTGTTGCGTTTCTTTTGGACACACTTGAAAGGTAATAATAACTGGTAGCCTTTTCTTTTAGCAACTTATTACTTTTAACCTTTCTGCTAATTTATTGATATTCCACAAACGAAGGTTTCAAATTATTTGCTTATCCGCCAAACGTTTCTAACTGTTGTAAAACTTTATCGACTACAGTAATTTATTAGTACTTTATTTGTACGATAACGCAACTGTACCTTATATTTCTTGTTTTTTTTCTTGTGAACTTTGCTTGTCAGCAGTATCGTGCATGTGATTTCCCGGATAATCAGAGATTACCTGCAACTATTAAATATTACGCTTATTAAGAAATAAATCAAATTGGCTTTAAAAAAGGCATTCGATCAATTCCAATTACGATACGAGCCCACTCATTCACTTTCTTATCGGGGTCAAATGACTGTTAATTACGAATATTTTTCCATACTTTTCTAATCAGCTTAAGCCTTAATTGTATGCTAAATAATACTTCTTCATAACAAATCATACAAGAATTATAAATTCTGACATTAATTGAGATGACGGATGGGTTCAACATAATTTTTACCAAAATGAGAACGAGCATCGACTATTAATCGGTTTTATGCAGATATTCACTGGAATTATTCGGTTTGATTTTTATACAGTACCTACTTCGATATCGGACTCGTATTTACTCAATTTGACACGTTTAATTCGCTTTGCTTTCTTCTAGTTTAAGCAGGTCTATCCAAGTACTTGAATAAATTTGCTGGATGTTAATTGTGAGTCAAAAACCACCATTGGATTATGTGGTAAATACTCCAACATTCGTACTCAAATTTACTCAATTTGGCACATTTTGATTCAGTTTAGTTTCTTCTAGTTTAAGCAGATCTATTCCAGTATTCGAATAAATTTGCCCAATGTTGATTTTCAGCTAAAACCTAGCATTGCATCCAACGTTCGGACTCGTATTTACTCAATTTGGCACAGTTTGATTCAGTTTAGTTTCTTCTAGTTTAAGCAGATCTATCGTAGTATTCGAATAAATTTGCCCAATGTTAATTTTCAGCCAGAAACTAGAATTGCTTCCTGTGGTAAATACTTGAATATTCGGACTCGTATTTACATTCTTCTGGTTTAAGATTGCCTATACAAATATTCGAATAATTCTGAGCCAAAAACTAGAATTGCGACCTGGGGTAAGTACTTCAACATTTGGACTCGTATTTACTCAATTTGACACATTTGTCATCTAGTTTAAGCGGGTCTATCCAAATATTCGAATAAATTTGCTGGATGTTAATTGTGAACCAAAAAATACCATTGCATTATGTAGTAAATACTCCAATATTCGGACTCGTATTTACTCAATTTGGCACATTTTGATTCAGTTTAGTTTCTTCTAGTTTAACGAAGTCTAAAGACATTGATAGTATTCATCTATTTGCTTGTGTAGGTCCTGCTATCAAAGGATAATTTATTTATATTTTCATTGTAGCTTTTCTGTTAACAGCGGATAGATTGTGCAAGTTAATTGTAGAAATGTTTTGTAAACGAAACTTCACACCTGTTTAACATGTACACAAAGCCTGATCGGCTTCATTCGGGATCATGAACACTAATTGCTTTTACGTTTACATTCACAAACAAACGACGGATTATGAATTAAATAATAATGAGAAAAAGTGAATCGGACCGTTAAAGGTCACATTATAATAACGCTGAAAGCATCTATGTTTCCGCTACATGATGGAAACTGTAATTTTTTGAAGAGTATTCAAACGAAAAAGTCCATGAAACGATTCTATATTCGGCATTTACAACGACGAATCTGTAAACGTAAATTGAATTTTGAATTACAATTTAATACCTACTTATTGCACTTTTGATTATAGACTTCTTATTGATTTTTATCTGATTAGA